CTCAGGATGGGACAAGGTACATAAACATCAGCAACCTTACTCAGCTCCTTGGAGGTGATCTATGTGATGCTCATGCATGTGGACGTGCCTTCACAGGTTGTAAAAGCACAAGTGCTTTTGCAGGATCAGAAAAAGTCAGCACTCTGAAACTTGTCAAAGCATCAGGACACTCCAAGAGTCCTTCAAATGTGTGGGAACATCCTGGGATGTATCAGAGGAGTTATACAGCAATGTGGAAATGTTTCTCTGCCTGTACTGTATGCACCATCATCTTTGTGATGTGAGCAGGACGTGAGTCATCTTTGTTATTTGCTGTCATGCACCAGGGGTGAAGTGGAGGCCTGCCTACATAACAAACACAAAGCATATTTCCATAGTTACATGGATGACACACAACTGTACATCTCTGCTGAGCTGAACAATGCTGCAGCCATAAACTATTACTACCTGTCTTTTGGCAATAAATGAATGGATGAGCAATATTTAAAGGTAAATGAAGACAAAATTGAAATCCTGCTTGTCAGCCCTAAAACAGAAAGAGAAGTGCTGCTTAATAATCTGGGGAATTTAACTCCCTTGATTAATTCTGAGGTGACAAGTCTTGGTGTGATCCAAGATTCAGATCTGAGCTTCAAGTCCCACATTAACAAGGTGACAAAAACATAATATTTCCATCTCAGAAACATAGCTAAGGTACGACCATTTCTAAAAGAAAAAGATGCCGAGAAATTGATTCCTACTTTTATTTCAAGCCGACGAGACTACTGTAACGCACTTTTTACTGGCCTCCCAAAAAGCACCACTAAGAGACTTTAGCTCAATCAAAACTCTGCAGCTCGGCTATTAACCAGAACCAAGAGGCGAGAGTGCATCAGGCCAGTCTTAGCTGCTCTGCACTGGCTTCCTGTTGCATTTAGAATTGATTTTAAGTCCTTCTACTCCTTGTATACACAGCCCTAAAATGGGCTGGGGCCGAGCTACATTGCAAACGCCTTTGACTATTTGCCTCCAATAACACTGAGATCATCTGCTGCTGGTTTACTGGAGATTCCCAGCAACAGCAAAAAGAAGATCTGGGATGCAGCCTTTGTCAGTTACGCCCAAAAGCTATGGAACACACTACCTGCAGATATGAGGGAAGCTAGCTCGCCAAGTTTTTTCTTAAAAAAAGCTAAAAACGTATCTGTTCACTTCAGCCTTTAACTAGCTCTGACTTTATATACAGGTCTGAAACTCTTTGTTTTTATGCTTCACGCTGCTGAAACTCTTTTAAATGTTGTATTTTACTCGATTTTATGATTTATGGTTTTAAAATTCTATGATATCATGATGTCATGATTTTATGATATCTATTTTCATGTGAGGCACTCTGTGATTATAATGCCCTTACTGTAAAGCACTTGCTGCATTTCTTGTATGAAAGGTGCTATATAAATAAAGTTTATTATTATTATTATCATTATTATTACATCCCCCTTGTAGGGACTGCTTACAGTTGCACATACAGCATGCCAACAACCAGGCAGCAGTCGAGAGGTACTGCCTGGAAGGACAGCCAGAGGCAAAAAGACATGGATGGACAACTGATGACAAAGGTATGCCTATAATAAACACAAATAAATATGTGTTCAACATCTTTCTACAATAATAAAATAATAAATATGTATAGGTAATATCTAGGTAGTTGAGCTGCTTACTGAGATAGATAGATATATATCTTCCACTTCATCTTATAGGTATGGTAGGCCCCCAGCACCAATGGCCATCCTGGAACTTATAGCCTACAAGTGTGTGCAGGGTTCCAGACTGTCCCCTGACCTGCCCACAAATCAAAATGCATGCCGATTGCTGCAAGTGACAAACTTTCTTAAGATTTAAAAGTTGTTGCTAGACTGGCTGACTACAATGACGATGATGACGATGAAGATTGGTTAAATGAAGTGTAATTGTTCATTTTTTCTGAGTATGATGTTGTGTTCAGTTAAAGTGCCCAGATTTCTTAATTCTTTGGATCAACAGTATCACTGAAGGTTGATAACTGTGACTAAACAACCTGGGGAAGAGTTATCATGTTGAAATATCATCTAGATATAGACTTTTTCAAAATACAAACTAAGATTTGCCACATTAGGAGGTACCAATTGGTGAAAAAGTCTGGCCTGGGCCCATGCCGGACTAATACCTTCATGACACTAGGGAAAAAAACATTATGTTTTTAATTCTGACACAGTAAATGCATACATTAAACATATATTACAATGTTTATTCCATCCTTTTACTTTCCTCTGATAACCTGGAGCTGGATCACAAGGGTAGCAGGCTAAGCAAGTTCCTCCAGATATCCCTCTCCCCAGCAACGTTTTCCAGCTCCTCCTGGGGAATTCCGAGCCGCTCCCAGGCCAGATGAGATATATATACAGTACAGGCCAAAAGTTTGGACACACCTTCTCATTCAATGCGTTTTCTTTATTTTCATGACTATTTACATTGTAGATTCTCACTGAAGGCATCAAAACTATGAATGAACACATGTGGAGTTATGTACTTAACAAAAAAAGGTGAAATAACTGAAAACATGTTTTATATTCTAGTTTCTTCAAAATAGCCACCCTTTGCTCTGATTACTGCTTTGCACACTCTTGGCATTCTCTCCATGAGCTTCAAGAGGTAGTCACCTGAAATGGTTTCCACTTCACAGGTGTGCCTTATCAGGGTTAATTAGTGGAATTTCTTGCTTTATCAATGGGGTTGGGACCATCAGTTGTGTTGTGCAGAAGTCAGGTTAATACACAGCCGACAGCCCTATTGGACAACTGTTAAAATTCATATTATGGCAAGAACCAATCAGCTAACTAAAGAAAAACGAGTGGCCATCATTACTTTAAGAAATGAAGGTCAGTCAGTCCGGAAAATTGCAAAAACTTTAAATGTGTCCCCAAGTGGAGTCGCAAAAACCATCAAGCGCTACAACGAAACTGGCACACATGAGGACCGACCCAGGAAAGGAAGACCAAGAGTCACCTCTGCTTCTGAGGATAAGTTCATCCGAGTCACCAGCCTCAGAAATCGCAAGTTAACAGCAGCTCAGATCAGAGACCAGATGAATGCCACACAGAGTTCTAGCAGCAGACCCATCTCTAGAACAACTGTTAAGAGGAGACTGCGCCAATCAGGCCTTCATGGTCAAATAGCTGCTAGGAAACCACTGCTAAGGAGAGGCAACAAGCAGAAGAGATTTGTTTGGGCCAAGAAACACAAGGAATGGACATTAGACCAGTGGAAATCTGTGCTTTGGTCTGATGAGTCCAAATTTGAGATCTTTGGTTCCAACCGCCGTGTCTTTGTGAGACGCAGAAAAGGTGAACGGATGGATTCCACATGCCTGGTTCCCACTGTGAAGCATGGAGGAGGAGGTGTGATGGTGTGGGGGTGTTTTGCTGGTGACACTGTTGGGGATTTATTCAAAATTGAAGGCACACTGAACCAGCATGGCTACCACAGCATCCTGCAGCGACATGCCATCCCATCCGGTTTGCGTTTAGTTGGACGATCATTTATTTTTCAACAGGACAATGACCCCAAACACACCTCCAGGCTGTGTAAGGGCTATTTGACCAAGAAGGAGAGTGATGGAGTGCTGCGGCAGATGACCTGGCCTCCACAGTCACCGGACCTGAACCCAATCGAGATGGTTTGGGGTGAGCTGGACCGCAGAGTGAAGGCAAAGGGGCCAACAAGTGCTAAACACCTCTGGGAACTCCTTCAAGACTGTTGGAAAACCATTTCAGGTGACTACCTCTTGAAGCTCATGGAGAGAATGCCAAGAGTGTGCAAAGCAGTAATCAGAGCAAAGGGTGGCTATTTTGAAGAAACTAGAATATAAAACATGTTTTCAGTTATTTCACCTTTTTTTGTTAAGTACATAACTCCACATGTGTTCATTCATAGTTTTGATGCCTTCAGTGAGAATCTACAATGTAAATAGTCATGAAAATAAAGAAAACGCATTGAATGAGAAGGTGTGTCCAAACTTTTGCCCTGTACTGTATTCCCTCCAGCGTGTTCTGGGTCCACCCCAGGGTCTCCAACCAGTTGGACATGCCCAAAACAGTACAAAAGAAGACGTCAAAGAGGCATCTTGTTCAGATTCCCAAACCACCTGAACTATTTACTTTCATCACAAATGTGCAGCGGCTCTACTCCAAGCTTCCTCTGGATATCTGAGCTCCTCACCCTCATCCAGAGGGTGAGCTTAGCCACCCTAAAGAGGAGGCCTAGTATTCTGGTATAAATACTGTAATGTTTCTTAGGGCAATATTAATATGTATTCCATACAAAAGAAAAAGTACTAAGGGGAAAACATCCCTCACACTGCCATCACAGAGAGTCCCGAAATACTTCTCTATGTAGTTTCTCTTTTTATAAATATATACATTTGCCCATGCATATCAAACCTCACCAAAGATTGCCATGACCTCAATCATATGCTTTCAGCAGAAAGCAAAGCCCAGCAGATGTCACCTGTCTTCAGTCTGTCAGTCTTATTACGCATGTCTGACTTATAGAGGGAATCCACAGCGTCATCAACTCAAACCACAACTTAATATCATTTCATTTTGGAATAATATAAGGTGATTTACAGCTTTTGATGCAATTTTAAACACTACTTTTTTTGCCCCTAACCATGTTTTATGATCTCCTGTCTGTCTGTGGAAATTTAGTGCATGAAGGCAATGTTACTGTGCTGTACATGGGACTGACACTGTCATGTTAGTACTACTACTAGTGATACTACACTTATTGTTGTTGTTGTATTACATACAAAAAATAATATATACATGCAATATAATGCAATGATATTAAAAACATGACTAATGATAAAAGAAAATGATGTGATATCAAAATTCCAAAAAGTGCTATGTCAAATTTTTTTCCTTGAGAGTTCAAGATCTTGAGGTCTATCAGTAGTATCAGCCTATCTCATGGGAGGAGTAGCCCATGTGTCATGCAAGATGCTCAAACAAAATCCCCCTCATGTATGAAGCATGTTTAACCCGTTGCTTCCAGTTAGTCTCCTCCCTCAGGTATCTGTCCCAATCTGGCTATAAATTCAGACATGCGACGAGCCAAAATTCATGCACCTTTTTCTTCTGAGCTCTTCAGTAAGATTCTACCAAGAAGATTTTTACCTCTCAGAAGACTGAAAACTTCATCTACGTCCCGTCCACTGAGCCAGCAGCATCTCCACTCCTGAAGGTCCCACTCTTCTCTTCTCTGCCTCCAGAAGACCCATCATCTTGTCCACCAGCATGATTTAAAGTAAGTTTCTGCATCAGCTCTCTACACATTACATTTAATATGGTAAAAATAAAATGCGCTGCCTCTCAAGCATGATCAGAAAATACACAGAGCCTGAAATTACCAACAATACGAGCATCGTGCAAGCCAGAAAAGAGTTAAACGACATGATATAACCAAAGTGCTTGTTTCCTTCCTCCTGCCTGCCACGCCATGAACAGCATACTGGAGTTTTATCTGAACACGGTGCTGCCCACAGCCATGACCGGAGTGACAGAGTAACATAACCAAGGTGACGGTTTGCCATTTCCCTGCCAGCCAATCTACTCCCTCTGGTATCTGTACGACCCCAAAAGCACTTTGCAACTCCACTCCTGAGGGCCCACTACTCCAGAAGACACATCATCTTGTCCACCAGCATGACTCCTCGGTCTCTGCTCCTGTTCAGCTTGGTTCTCTTTTCTGTTTTCTGCACTGCCTCCACTCCAATGTGCAACTACAAGTGCTGCCTTTCTGTTGAGGGCTTCCCTGTCAGACTCAGGAAGCTCAGGGAAGACTTGACACAGACCACAGACTACTGTGTGAGTAATATTCCTGTGTAGCTTTAACCCATGCGATCCAAAGATGATGACCTGCACCATTAGTGATGGATTTATTAATCACTGGTGCAGCCCAATCAGCAGTCCTCTTTATTAAGGATTGAAATTTGATTTGATGATACTGACTTTTGAAAGCCATTTAACTTACTCCTTAAACCAGATAAGACCTGACAGGAGAAAACACTTGTAAATCCCCATAAAATTAAAAATAATCTCTAAATTGGCGATTTGAAATTAGAGGATTGACAATGTGTCATATTGACTTTGTATACTCCCGTTATGACAGATTTATTTCACTGAACTGAACTGAAATGTCAGTTAAATGTCACATTTGGACACGTGGACAAATATGAATCTCTTTCTGTTTTCATTCATAAACATCCAAGCTGTCATGCCTTTCAGGAAGACATGTGATTAGCTGTCACTCAGTTAAAACAAATATTCAAAACCACAGTCCTTGTCTAGACTAAAACCATCAGAATATTCCAAACTCTTGTAGACATGAGGCAGATGGCTGACCATGATAGAAAGGGGAAGAGTTCAACGATGACTCACAGGACGGATCATAATATTGCATTAGTCAGTGGTTTCTCAACTGCAGCAGCGTGCATAACGGTGCATCATCCGATTCCTGCAAAAAAGGAAGAAAGGGAATGCTGCTGCCTGCTCACTAACATTTTTTGCCCTGAGCTCTGTCTTGCAGACTGCACAGAAATCCCAGCTAAGGCCCTTTGCCTGTTAACTATATTTCATTTATGAGGACAAGGAAAGAGCTGGGGGTGAACTCAAGGCATTAATACTTTTAAAACCTGTGCTCCTCATCATACTCTCATAATAGTTGATAGCCCGTTTAGAGTTCGACATGAAACTGTGAATTGTGAAAACAGTGTTCAGGCCCACCACAAAAGTTTCATACTGTGGCTCAACTGTATGCTGTCCCCATTTACACAGTATGCTTACACGGGTCATTTTAATAAATAGTGTGGTGCATTTGAGCTGCTGTAATCTGACTGACCTTTGTTTGTCTCCAACAGGACAGTCAGTCGTGTTGTTTCCTGCATCTCCTGCTTCGTTTCTACGTTGAGAGAGTGCACAGCAACTGCGTCTCATCTCAGCCACAGCAGCAATACCAACACTTTTGTCAACATCAGGAGATGCATACACCAGGGTTACCAACTGAAAAAATGGACAATTGCCCCGGAGCAACAGACACTGAAGGCCACTGAAGCCCCCCAGGGTCATTGAGGGCAGTGGTTAGAGGGTCAATGGAGCCCAGCATCCGTGGGGCCACCTGACAAGTTAATCCAGCACTGATGTGGATAAATCTGCAATTTTTTTATTTAATAATAAAATGCTCTGTTATTAAAACTATACATTATGTTGCATTAATACATGTACCCAGCTCTGTGCAGCATCCTCACTGTAAAGGAGACACAGAAAACTATTGAAGTATATAATAGTATTGAATAGCTCCTCACAGCAGACTGCAGATGGTGCTGTGGAGTAAACCCCAGGAGCAATCGATTTCACTTTTGTAAAGATAATCTATAGTTGGTTTTCAGCAATTATGGATATTTGATGTTTAATTCATTCTTTCATTTTCATTTTTTTAATTTTATTTAAAAGGGACAGTGTACAGCTCAAACATAAATGTCACCATTTGATGCACCGTACCAGATTATAGCTTCAAGCTAATTCGCGTCTGTAGTCCCTTCTTAGTGTCAAGTCTTCCAGTTTCAAACCGCACTGTCAAGCGTATGGTACAAGTTGTATTTTTTAGGAAAGCTATTGTTTTTCTTGTGTCACACCAGTGCTACTAAGTGGTTAACTATGACTACTACTACACCAGATTTTAAGAGTAAAATTCAGAAACATTTTGTTCAACAACTTCAGAAAAAGACATATTTTTATCCAATAACATGTCGCTATTTTCAGTGTAGTATTTTGTAATCACATTCTTAAATTAGTTTTATGTGCTGATGTATTCATAATTATATTTTTTATTTTCATTTTTATAACACACCTGTAACATGCAACACCTGTTTATGTATTAGACACTGAAAGCTGTACTAAACTTCCACTGTTTACCAGCAATAAAAACAAAATGTATTAAATTTTTTCTTTCCTACCTCCTTTAAGAATGTACTGTTAGGATATTATTTGGTTAGTTAGTCTGTTAAGCTTTATTGACAAGACAGTCCAGACAACAGAATGCATACAGTCTAATGCTGATTCAGTCTGTTACAACCCAGCTCTTTGGCTGCAACAGTGATGGGACACGAGACGAGGGCACAAACAGTTAAAAGCTTGTTTATTTACAAAATAAAGATTAAAAAAACAAGTAAACGTGAAAGTAATCAGTTATGTCTGCATGTGTGGAAATGTCTGTAAAACACCTGAAAGAACAGCAGCTGCACCGTGAGGGAGGAGGGATATTCTGTCGGAAGGTGGTGAGGTGTTACATCATGAAGCACAGCAGGCCCAGGTGTGGCTCGTGATGCCTTTACACACATCCTGTAACAAAAAAGAACAGCAGGGTTCCACTAATATTGTTTTAAGACAGAAGTCAAAAAGGCACACCTAGTGGAGAGGAGGGGTCGTTACAAGTTACACCCAGTCATCTCGTGCACACACACATACACAGACACACAAGTATGACAAATATCAGCAAGAAGAACTTTAAAGTTCTTTAGAGCAATGAGTGTCTCTAATTTTAGTTTGCTTTGCAGTTTATTTCAGTAGTGAGGTGCATACTGGAAACCAGCCTTCCCTAGTCCAGAGTTGGTATGAGGGACCAGGGATTATAGATATTTTGGCAGCTGAGCCTCGTGGGACACCTTTAACAACCATCTGGAGATTTGATTTGAAACCGTCAGCTGCAACCAGACATTAAATATTATAATCACAAGCATCAAAAGCCTTGGAGAGATTTACAAAGAGTGCAGCACAAGTGATGACAGCTCTGCATTATTACCCTCCAGTGGTGATCAGAGAAAACACAGTGTTTCATCCAGTACAGGTGAGCAGATGTGACACGGCTAACATCAGCAGCAGCATGATGACTGACCCTGACTCACAGTTATATCGCCTCTTTTCACTTCCACACATCCAGCAGGTTGTGGCTCTCTTCACATCTGAGCATCGGCAGGCCAAGGACTAAATGAACCGGGGTGAAAATCAATGAAACTGTGATTCATCATTCAAATTGCATTGAGAAACAGTGTTATTTTTTACTTTCACTAATTCAGCACTCAAATGTTTGAACACTATGGGAAAATATGAGCTGTCACGGCGAGCGGTGCTTACATAAGTGCGGTTAACACCCTCTCAGGTACAGATGTGAATGCATGTGCTTACGCACTTCCACCCTACATCAATACAGTATGGAGAATAAGGTGTCATGCTTTTGGAAGCATCACACTGGTGCGTATCCATCAATCACTGATTGAATCGGAATGCTTACTTTAATCTTATATTAGTGAAAATGTCCAGGTCAAACTGAACTCTGTGTACAGTGGGAATGTGGAAGTTTCATCTTCTCACAAAAAGGAAGCTTGCTCAGCAGGACAGGACCACTTTAGTTTCAGGGTACAGGAACATTCATCTAATGTTGCTTGCTCAGCTCTGTGGAAAAGATAAGGTTCCTGCGGAAGTCTGCGGTTATCTATTTTAGTTTTGAAGTTCGCATTTGCATGTTATATACTTAAATTGGCACATTTCCATCACAGTAATATTGAAAGATCTCCCACAGACGCACTGTTGTTTAAATCTGCTAGGTGAAGTAGGTGATATGCCAACACAACAACAGCCCACATTCGCCATGACGGGTTAACTAAGGGGAAGTCGAAATGACTCTAGGTCTCTTTAGGTCACTCACAGGAAACAGAGATGAAACTCAAAGTCGCCCATTCCGTTATACAGAATATCTTCCCACCCAGATATTAGCTGTCACGTAACGCTCATTAATTCATGTCTCTGTGAGTGGTTTGGCAACACGCTGTCAGCCTGTTCACCTCACACACATCTCTCACAGTCACCTCTTTCCTTTTAGCCTTATCAATACAAGACCACTATTATTATCATTTATGCTCACATAACAATAACAACTTGACATAAACAATAACAAAAACAGACCTCTGAAGGACTCAATGCTACACACACACACCAACACACATTCACTGTCAAACAGACGCCCGGTGTGAAAGTGAAAGAGGAATGTGGTGAATCTGTTTGTGAAGACGGATAGGTTTCCTCTAAAGGCGCAAGTACACTGCTGCAGACACAATATGCACACACCGATCAAGAAAATGTGACGCATAACACGGAGAAAATGTAAAAACATAACTACAGTACATTGTGGAGCTCGTCTGGGCTGCAAAGCGCAAGGAATGGCAGTTAAAATGAGCGCGCAAACAGCTTTCAAACAGCATCAAATCTTCAAGTTATTCGATGTCATGCGGCATTCCACTGTGATTCATGTTCCAACAGGGGGCTGAATAAACTAGATATGATATCAGCAGTCAGGTTTCAGGTAATGTGCCGCAGTATTGCTGACTGCAGATGCTGTGCACCGCTTAGTGACGACATCAGAAACTGAACTGAGGAGGTAAGGGGCCACGGCGACAAAGAGAAACTCTTACCACATCAGCACCTGATCATATCCAGAGCACACAGTGCTCTGCTGGCTGTTAGTCAGCCATCGAAAAAGTGATACATGAAAGATAAGATTTGACTGTTTCAGCTTTGGCCCCGTTTCAAGGAGGTTTTCTCACCTCTGGTTTGAGTGCACGATGAACATTAACTTGCTGATATGAAGCCTCCAACTGATCAACGTGTTGTGTTGTCGAACTCACAGGATTATGACCTCCAAATGACATCAAATTAGTTTCAGTAATATTTGCACATCAGAAAAGCACACACAGAAAGAGAAAGAGCAATAGAAATAGAAAAGGTTTTCACTTTTTTTTTTTACCTTGGTGGTAATGAAAAATGCAAATAGAATTGACAGACATAGCTGAACTATACTGTCATATGGTTTGCCTTTTTTTGGTGCTACAATTAACGATAGACAAGAAGTAGATGAGAAGTTACAGATAGATACTTCACACAATGCTGCAATGTTCACACATCAGCATGATATATTCATTACTCTCATGACACCCTGAACCTGTGAACAGATGCTGAGGGTCGCAGTGACCGTGCATGACGGTTTTATCAGCAGTCGCTGCCGCTGCAGTTACTTCTGGTATGCTGGGTTTAAGTATGAGTAGGGTGCAAGGAAAGACTAACAGCTAAAAATGAGTTATTTGAATACGTTACTTAAATTCTTTTTTCTTTTTTTCTTTTTTTACTTTAAATAAAGCTAATGACTAAAACAATGCCCCAACTGAAATCCCATCAGACCGGGCAAAAGCATTTCAAATGCAACTGCAACCACACAAAGTTATGAAATCACGCAGCTAAATGCAGAAAGCAGACATGCATGCTCTCTCTCACACACACATGCACGCACACACACACACACACACACACACACACACACAATCAGTGACAAACTCAGAGGGGTTTCCCATAAACTGGTCGCTGCTGACTCATCTTAATTTCACACATAAATATATATATGTATATAAAATATGTACACATATTACAAGCTGCATTTGCTGCTTGATAGAAAAGATAAAAGATGTTGCATTTTAATGTGATATACCAATCTAACACAAATTATTTCAATTAAAAGTGCTCATTTTTACATTTTGAGCAATTTACACATTTACATCTATGAGCCAGCATTATCCGTTTGACTGCTGTAATTTGTATGGACGAGTACAATAACCTCGTTTTATGCATATCATTGCAGTTTGTTTTATCCGATGATAGCCTACTGGGATTTCGCAATATAGAGAATTTTCTGGAAACTAACTGGACCACTTCCTGGCTTTTTTTTTTCTTCACTCAATCTGCAACGGTTGCCATCATCAAGGTTTTAATGCTGACCTCTTGGCCAGGTCTCTCTTGAAAAAGAGATTTTAGTCTGGTCAAATAAAGAAAAACTGAAAAACTGTACTGGACTAATTTCTGTTATGTGTATCTCTCTTATTGGCATTTCACAATTGCTTTTTGCCTTTTTATAATGTAATAAGTTACATACAACCAAACTACTATTTCTGGTAGTTCTACTAAACTGTCACAATTTTTTAAAGGCAGAGTTGACACAAGACTATTTCACATGCATGTCAACTAAAATCTTTGCACCTTGGGAAATCTGTTTGTCTAACACAAGCACCAAACTGAGGTAGAGTTAAAATTACCCAAAAAAACAAAGAAAAAAAGAAATAACCCTAATTGTTTCATGCTCATTTCTTTTTGTTTCTCACTGTGCTTGTGTAGATGAAGTACTTTTATCGTGGAATGTGTTTTAATGCAACAAATTTAAAATAAATTACTGGCAATTTATTATCATTAAAACAGTAGTATTGTTTGTTCAAATATATTATTAACTTTTTGTATTCTTGGGAGAGGACCTTATCTCACTCTTTTATTACTGCCAAGTCCATCTTCACTGAATCTGTGGATTTAGTTGGTTTCCAGCTTCTTTTTAATGTGAAGTGAGAGGGCCGGTGCAATTCAAAGTTTCTATCTGAATAAGGCCACACTACGACCCGGCCACAATAAGGAATTAGTTAGTTAGTTAGTTTAAGGTGGGTTCATGGTTAGGGCCAGTCACACTAAGTCAGCCAGTTAGTTAGTTAGTTAGTTAGTTAGTTAGTTAGTATAAAGTGGGTTCGTGGTTAGGGCCAGTCACAGTAAGTCAGACAGTTAGTTAGTTAGTTAGTTAGTATAAGGTGGGTTCATGGTCAGGGCCAGTAATAGTAAGTCAGTCAGTCAGTCAGTTAGTTAGTTAGTTAGTTAGTTAGTTAGCTGGTATAGGCTGGGTTCATGGTTAGGGCCAGTAATAGTAAGTAAGTCAGTTGGTTGGTCGGTCCGTTGGTCAGTTAATTAGTTAGTTAGTTAGTATAAAGGGGTTCGTGGTTAGGGTCAATGTTAAAAGTTAGTTAGTTAGTTAGTTAGTTAGTTAGTTGGTATGAATTGAGTTCATGGTAATGGTCAGTTAATAGTTCGTTAGATTGTTAGTATACATCAGGGCTATGGTTGGGTAGTCAGTCAGTCAGTTAGTTTGTTAGTTAGTTAGTTAATAATGTGGGCAAAAAAATATATTTTGTTAGAATACTCAGAGTTGTGACATTTGATTTCACATGGTAAATGTCTCTCTTCACATGTGAAATTGACTTCGGACATGTTAACGTTCATATTCACCTTGCATTGTCTCTTATCAAATGTTGAGAAGTTTAAGCAGAAACATTCAGTTTCCAAATGTAAAATTTAGTGTCACATGTTAAATAACAACATCACATGTAAAATGATTCACTTTACATGGTTTTTCCATTTGTGACAGATTACATTTCATCAATGTGCACTAATGCTGTAGTATTTTCCACATTTTTCTGTGCTGGCTGGATTGTACTCACTGTATCAGACCTGACGTTTTTATTTATTTAACTGTATTTAAAGCACAGTGTGTAATCTTCCGCAACACAGGCTTCATCCGGTACATAACCTCTAACCTGAACCATGACAAATCACCCTGAAGGGTATTTGCAGATTGTGAAGTCTTAACCATGCAGATAATCACCAGGAATGATTTTCTTTCTCAAAATACCAGTGTTGCCCAACATAAAGTGGTTCCAGTGTAAACTGGACAGAGACGCGTTAGTTGTGGATTAATGGGCATTCCATACAAAAGAAAAAGTACTAAGGGGAAAACACCCCTCACACTGCCATCACAGAGAGTCCCGAAATACTTCTCTATGTAGTTTCTCTTTTTATAAATATATACATTTGCCCATGCATATCAAAACTCACCAAAGATTGCCATGACCTCAATCATATACTTTCAGCAGAAAGCAAAGCCCAGCAGATGTCACCTGTCTTCAGTCTGTCAGTCTTATTACGCATGTCTGACTTATAGAGGGAATCCACAGCGTCATCAACTCAAACCACAACTTAATATCATTTCCATCTGAGTGGCCATAAGGTGATTTACAGCTTTTGATGCAATTTTAAACACTACTTTTTTTTGCCCCTAATCATGTTTTATGATCTCCTGTATGTCTGTGGAAATTTAGTGCATGAAGGCAATGTTACTGTGCTGTACATGGGACTGACACTGTCATGTTAGTACTACTTCTAGTGATACTACACTGGTGATGATAGTTAAGAGTAAAATGGAAAACATATAATAATAATTATTGTATTATTATAATAATCATCATTATTGTTGTTGTTGTATTACATACAAAAAAATGATATATACATGCAATATAATGCAATGATATTAAAAACATGACTAATGATAAAAGAAAATGATGTGATATCAAAATTCCAAAAAGTGCTATGTCAAATTTTTTTCCTTGAGAGTTCAAGATCTTGAGGTTTATCAGTAGTATCAGCCTATCTCATGGGAGGAGTAGCCCATGTGTCATGCAAGATGCTCAAACAAAATCCCCCTCATGTATGAAGCATGTTTAACCCGTTGCTTCCAGTTAGTCTCCTCCCTCAGGTATCTGTCCCAATCTGGCTATAAATTCAGACATGCGACGAGCCAAAATTCATGCACCTTTTTCTTCTGAGCTCTTCAGTAAGATTCTACCAAGAAGATTTTTACCTCTCAGAAGACTGAAAACTTCATCTACGTCCCGTCCACTGAGCCAGCAGCATCTCCACTCCTGAAGGCCCCACTCTTCTCTTCTCTGCCTCCAGAAGACTCATCATCTTGTCCACCAGCATGACTCCTCGGTCTCTGCTCCTGTCCCTCCTGGTTCTTCTGTCTTTCTACAGCACTGCCTGGTGCAGCCCAATGTGCAACAACCATTGCTGTCGATTCGTGGAGGGTTTTCCTGTCCGGCTAAAGAAGCTCAGAGAGGACTATTCACAGATCAGAGACTACTATGTGAGTATGAGCAAGACATTGACTCTGAACGTACCTTAACAGGCTGTGCAGCATCATTTGGATAGATCCAGCGCCCATGTGGCCATGCAGTGCTGTGGATTTCACTTTCTCACCTCTGTCTGCCTCTGCTGCAGCTGCTGCTGACTCTGTCACTGAACACGAGCCTGTTTCTGTTTACAGGAAGCAAACGACGACTTGGACACAGCGCTGCTAGACGAGAGCGTGGAGGAGTCCTTTAAAGTAAGTTTCTGCATCAACTCTCCACAAACTTCATTTAATATGGTAAAAAATAAAACGCGCTGCCTCTCGAGCATGATCAGGAAATACACAAAGCCTAAACTGATCGACGATACGAGCATCGTGCAAGCCAGAAAAGAGTTAAACGACACGACATAACCAAGGTGATTGTTTCCTCCCTCCCTCAGAGCCCGTTTGCCTGCCACGCCATGAACAGCATACTGGAGTTTTATCTGAACACGGTGCTGCCCACAGCCATGACCGGAGTGACGGAGGATACCAGGAATCTAAAGCCGTACATGGAGTCCATACAGCAGATCTTCGACGAGCTCAAGAGTGAGGTCACCAAATGTGTGAGTATCTGACACACGTGTCACTCCTACCCGAAAATAAAGATGTAAATACGCACCGAGGGCGCGCTGCCGACAGCTCCGATGTAGTTTCCAGTGCGCAATGCGAAGCAGTATGTTTGTGTAAGTAGGCTACTTATGCAGCAGCAGAGGTTGTCTGCACTTGACAGAAAGAGGAAGAGTGGCTCGAAGGACAGGACAGGTCATAATATTGCATTAGTCAGTGATTCCTCAACTGCAGCAGCGTGCATAACGGTGCATCATCCAATTCTTACAAAAGGGGAAGAGAAGGAAAGGCATGCTGCTACAGTAGCCTACTTGTCAATGTTTTTTCCTCTGTGTCTGTTGGGAGGGAATTCAGGGCTGTCTAATTAAAGTTGGTAACCCTTGTGCTAACACTGTCTTTCTGTTATTCCTCTTACAGAGAAATTACTTCTCCTGCAAGAAACAGTTTCAAATCGAAAACCTAAACTCTACTTACACTCAGGTGAGTGTCGACATGTCACCTTTAATCTTGGAAATACAGTTTCCATGTGTGCATGCCTGTGTTTTGACGGATGATTTTAATAGAGTGAACTTTGTGTTTGTCCACAGATGGAGGGTAAAGGTTTATTTAAGGCCATGGGCGACCTGGATGTGCTGTTTAACTACATTGAGATGTATCTGGCTTCTAAACGGCACAGACACACAGTGGCCGCTGCTTGAAGACCTGCTGACCTGAATTAAACTGTGACTTTGTCCATGTCAGAAATAAGAGGGGACAGACATTGACTCTTGAAATCCGTTACTGTCAGTCGTATGAGTGTTGTTAATGAGTGTTGTTGCTGCTTGCTGAACTGATGTCTTTATTATTGTGAGACTTCTATTTTGTCCTGAGGACAAGCTTATGTTTGAAGACCATATTGTGTCTTACACACATGAAGATACAACCAAAACAGTTGCTTTGAAGCTGTGATATTTATTTGTCATATATTTTATGTATTTTTGTATTTATTATGACTATTTTTACACTGTTAAAGAGGAATAAATGACTTGTCTATAAAGAATGAATCTTTTGATTTTATTTCACAACAAGATACTGCTGCTGTCATGCCATGTATTAGGAATAGGTAACTGGTAGAGCACTGAAAACATCACATCCTGCAGTTCTGCAGTCTATATGTGGGGAACCACTCGAGTGTAAACTCAACAGGCTTATGCACTAACCTCAAACGTGACCCACATATACATCACTTACCAGCAGCAGCCCTGCTATATCTTAATTTACCGTAACTGTAACTAGCCAGCCTCACCCTCATGGCATATGCACAGTTGCACAAAAAAGACAAGTGCATGCGAAAGCGGTCTCGCTCAGTCACACACAGACACATATAAAACAGAAGTAACACACACAGTGAAATAGAGCAGCCCCACATTAAAAATGTTGCTTTTTTTCCCTGTGCTGATCAGTCAGCGCATCAGCCACAGAGGGTAGCTGCAGATTTTATTTCATCAGCTACACCACAATACACTGATACCTGAGCAATAAAATAATTTTTAAGGGCATGAAAACATACTCAGGTAGTAACACTTGAACGTACGTATGTGCACTCCTCTGACTGCGGAGTCACATAAGGTTCCTGACTTGACTCAGGCCTCTGCACTGAAACTACTCTAAGACATTTCAGCCGTCACTAACTCAGTCAACGTGGGATGATCTGAATAGTATCATTCCAGCAATGACAGTACCTTATGCAAAGATATCATTCACAACAATTGTCTGATAGAGCGTGACCATTTTATTTGGACCAACGTTAATGGCAGTTTGCTGAAGGATGAATCATGTTAGTCAGCGTTATGTTCAAAACTGTTAATTCAGACTTCTTTTTCCTTAAAACCAGTGTTTACGTTTTCAGTCTCCTGTCTGTTAACATGCTAGTTAAGATCATTCCTAGCTGTTATGTAATGACTGGATATGTCTGTGCAGAGAGCAATGGTTTCGAAGCAAGGTGAGAAAAAACAGAGACCATCAGTTACGGGTTCTTTCACAGTGTTGGGACTTGAAGCAAAATGCCAAATCACGGTTTTGACTGATTATGATTGAGGGTTGAAAATGGCTACTTTTATTGACACACACCACTTTGCCCTTAATAGCTAAGATATCCTAAATCACAACAACAACACAGTTGTGGGATCAAACTGCACTGCCTTCCACATCATAAAAAAACAAATGATTCTGAAAAGAGAAAAACAGACACCCTCACCTGCTTTTCCAACATGTAGTTTTCCTTCCTCCTGAACCGTCCGTCATGAAGAGGAGGGAGATGCAATAACATTTCAATAAGAGGATAAGGCTGCACATTTTTATAGTCTCTCCCAGAAGGGATTTGTGATGTTGAACCTGGTTGTTCACGTGAAAAGTGTCATAAATAGTTTTGTCAAAAATGAAAAAGGAAAAAAAAGAAAAACAGCCAGATGGAGAAGTTCAAACCCTGGTTCCTTTCTCATACCGCACAGCTGGCCTCAATGTTAGATATCTGGTTTTAAGAAAGTTACAGAAATGGTCGTACGCAGCCCACCCTCTCATCTGACGTGTGAAAGGTGCAGTAGGGGTGAGGTTTTCAAAGCTCGTAGTTGCATGTTAACCCTCCCTTTATTCTTAACCCCCCCACCAAGCCAATAATGTTTGTATAGGTCCTTATTATGATGCTGTGTGCTTGTGAATTTCTTTAAAAGTGTGAACAAAAAAAAAAGTGCAAAAGTGTTTTCATTGTACGTGTTTTAGTAGAGGTGGTGATTTTGTGTATTTCAACAGTTGTGAGCACATATAATTTACAGAAGTCTATTTGGAAATAATCAAGATACATGTGAGACATCGAAAACACCCACGAGACGAAAATGAGACAGAAAATTGCAAAAGTTGTCAAGACATCCGCTCTGAGTCATTATTCCGAATCACCAAGGTCCATAATGTTTGTGGTGAATTCTTGTGCACACACCTGATGAGTCAAGCACAAGATTAGCTTGTTCCAAAACAGAGATGCTACAGAAACATACTGACGTTGAAAACTGACACACTCTTTGCCACATGTGAGGCTATTAATGTAAAATATCCACCCATTACACTTGAAAGAGGGTACTGCATCATCAGTCATAGATGGATGATACATAACTGAATACCATATCATGGCATGATGTATCACAGTATGCCCCATAATAGGTAATAAATGTCTGCTCTTCCTTATGTCTTTTCTGTGTCTTTCACTGGAAAAGAAGTGTAATGTGTAAGTTCTCCCGCTCTGGCCACTTCCTGAATTTGGAGATGACCATATCAGGTTACATTTTCAAAAAAGCACACATGATGTAAGTACCAGACAAAAAGCCTATTATTGACTGCCTGTCACAAATCTGCATTATGAGTAGTGCTTTTGAAGTTATAGCTTATTGGCGGATATAAGTAATTATGCACTGTATGTGAGTAGCAGCACAGTGATGCGGTACGGCAGTGGTTAGCATCATGTTGACTCACAGCAACAGGGTTTCGGGTTCAAACCTGCCTCCTGGCTTTGCCCCCTCTCCCTGTGTCAGCATGGGTTTTCTCTGGGCTCTCCAGCTTCCTCCCATCCAAGTCCAAAACATGCAGGTTAGCTTGACTCTAAATGGCCATTGTGTGTGTGTGTGTGTGTGTGTGTGTTTGTACTTATAGATGCTACGAACTGAGGACCAATAACATATTTTTGCAACAGAGGACATTTTTGGAACACAAGGACATTTTGGCTGCTCCTCACTTCTTCAAAGGCCTGTTTGAGGGTTAAGACTTATTTTTAGGGTTCAGGTTAGAATTAGGTTTGGTTAGCGTTAGTGTTGGGGTCAGGCATTTAGTTGTGGTGATTAAGGTTAGGGTAAGGGGCTAGGGAATGCATTATGTCAAAAGGAGGTCCTCACGAAGACAGAAGTATAAGAATGGATGTGTGTACACAGTTTATATACATATTATATACATTTCCCACAGCACCTTTTCTTAGAAGAAAATGAAGAATGTGTTCCAAAAGCAAAGAAACAGCAAAAAAAGAGGGGAAAAAAGAAGCGATCGCAGTTACCACAACACATACCTTTAGCTGTACTTGACAGTAAAAACAAACTGATTTCCTGCATGTGAAAGATTAGCAACTTTTGTTGTACATGTAAAACTGAACATGAAACAGCTTTCAAAAGCACAAGTTTCTTACTTAAAGGTAACGTGGGGTGTCTCGCTATTACTACCATGTCTGGGGCAGGTCAATCAGCCCCCTCTTGTCTGAGAGGATGTATGTTTGTGTGTCAGAATCAGGATGGCATGTCACTTCAAAGAAACCTGAGCTGTGTCTCATCACCTCAGCTGGGAAGTCTACGTCCTCCACACTTCCCCACGTCTTTAAAAGGGTGTACATAGTAATGACATACGGTGAGGCCAACACACTAACGTCACTTTCTAACCTAGAAAAACTGATGGTCTTGTTTTTAAATTTGTTAAATGAATGTCTCACCTGATTTTCCTTCGATGATGTAAACCCTCTGATGTTAAAATCAAAAATACAGTTTCCTTCTCACCTGTAATGCTATTTTTCCATCTACCGGTGCTCACCTTGCACCACCAAGCTAGCTGACGTTACAGCTCAGGTGAGGAGGATGCCATTAATGTTTACATCTTGTGTTGTCACCAGACCGAGCCTCTCATCTCATCTCCAAGTAAACACATGCTTTCCTCTGCGTGGTTGGCAGGTGTACTTTGGTATAAAGAAAATAGTTCCTACATGAGACTGCTCACAAGGTCTATGTATTATCTTGAGTAACTGGGTCATGCTCTCTGGGAAGAGACATTGCTGTTGAGTTTTTCAATTTATTTATTTTTTAATCATTGAGCACCACACGCTAAGTGGCATCTAGTTCCGTTATGTTTAAGAGAAGGCAGACATCTCTCGCAACTCGCACCAAAACAATCTAGATTGATGAACAGCACTACAGATAAGAGGAAAATATGTATTTTTGGTTTTGCTTTGAACTGTCCCTTTTAACTGTTTATAAGATGGTTTGGTGGTTGCATCAGAAGCTAAATACAGACAGTATGCACCGCTTACCTTCCTGACTTTAACCAACCTATGACTGGCTGAACCTCATGTATTGTTTCCCACCTATCACGTGATAAAATAGTGAGGCATGCCCTCCTTATTTTTGTTATAAGTGTGCTGGGCAGGTGGGTGTCCTGCAGTTTGTTGTAGACGGGGTTAAGGGGTAGAACCTCCACAGGTCTACCATCATAAGGGACTCCCCTGAAGCCTCATTTAACCCCTTTTCACTTACCTGAGAGAAAGAAATGACTGTAGGTTTCATCACACTCAAAGCTGGAAGCTGAGTGCCTACGACTGCCTAGCACCTGAAGAAAAATAATCTTGTGCATTAGCGGGAAGCTGCTCTAAAACACCCCAGTGTTGGCAAATGTCTGTGTTGACTCAATGCCACCGCACTGTTTTGCTACGCAAATGCGTATATTCCAGGAGTCACTCATGCTAGCAAGTAAGATACATGACGCCTGTCACAAGTTGAGTCTGTTGACTCCGTCTAAAAGCCACAAATCCCAAGTCGACCAGTCATAGCTGGAGACATGAATGAGAAGAAAAATTCTCTAAATGTTGAGGCAGAAGTCACATATGGAGAAAATATTTAAATTTTTATATATAGTCAATTAATAAACAACTGGACCAACAACTCAGAACAGGTAACACACACTACAACATGTAGACAAGTTGGCAATCCTAAACAAGTGTTTGCAAGAAGCATTAAAACTTGAAATGTTGTATTGCCTTGGATTTAACTATTAAAAAATATTAGTGTTTTGGAGGGAAAAACATAATGAAGGAGACTACATGCTTAAATTACAATTATAAGTTTCTGACTTTTTTTTTTTCCCTACTTTTTTTTTTTAATAGAAAAAGACTTTACGTTATCACCAAATTATTACATGCTTTACAGGACCATGTGCTACTCAAGACATGTACTTATTTCTTTTCTGAATT